GATGGATGGAGACACATCCCTGATGTCCACCCACTTGGGTGTGAGGACGGACCCTGCAGCAGCTTCAGATGAAACCCTGGTGGTCATGGGTGCTTGGGATGGAGACAAAACTCTGCTAATGTAAGGGCTAATTACACAGAACGAGTATCAGCATCTCTGTTTCATTGGGAGAGATGAGATCCCATGAGGGGCTAGGAGGACAGCCAGCAGGATTCAGGGGAGTGGTTTGGAGCCAGCCCACTGGGATTTGCTCTTTGGGAATAGGCTGTGGTTTCTGCAGAGCAAAGAGCTTGTGGGAGGCCCCACCCCTGCAGATCATTCCCCAAAAATCCTCACCCCTGAGGAGTCGGTGGCAGTGACAGGATGTGAAGGATCATGTTTTAGGGAGAGGAATGATGCTGCTTGTGAGCATTTTGCTGAGAATCGTATTCATGTGCATGAGACGTGAGTAATGCAGAGGTTTTGGCAAAGAGCAAAGCAGCTGCCCAGAGCAATTTGGAAACCTTGTTTTGGCTTTTGCATCAGGGTCATTGTACCTTGTACCAGCATTTTTCAGGGGAGCTGCCTGGCAAATCCCTTTTGAATGTCCTTGTTTACAACCACATCCTCTGCAGGCAGCATCCCACAGCAGCACGCACTGAGATACAAGCAGCATCTTGTTTCAAAGATGACCTTGTGTTTCAAAGGCTGATTTCTGGATACACAATTTTTGGAAGTGGGTTTGCAGTCCTGTGATGGGTTTGTAGTGGAAAGGTGAGCTCAAAGTGCCCCACTCAATCCAGGCTCCAAAGGATGAAGGCAAAGCACAGTGAGGTTTCTTGCTCCAGGGAATTCTGGAAGGGGAAGCTAGTCATGCTCCTGAACTGTAGCACCCCTGACCTCTGAGACAACAGTAGCTGCTCATCCTGGAGTACAAAATGTTTTGTAGGCTGATGGGGGTGCCTGTGTCCTGAGAGGGCCCACTCAGGCACAAGATGCCCCCAGTCACAAACACTGCAAATCAGCAGTGGGTGATTTTTCATGTCCTCCTTTTTTAAACCTGCCCTTTACTCTCAGGTCCAGGCCAGGATTCACCAACACTCACATCTAATGCAGCTTTTGCAGCTCTCTGCTCCACTGACCAGCCTAGGGGAAAAGCAGGCATCTGGGAGAAGAGATATGGGGCCACCACAGCTTCCCCCACCCCACAGCATTGCACAACACCCCCCGCACAGCCCTGGCTCTGCCAGCCAACCCTGCTGGGCTCAGGGGCCTGGATCCTGCTCCATCCTCACCCAGCTGGGTGCCATCAGCTCCATCTTAGCAGGGGAGACTAAGACCTCAGGAAACCACCATCTGCAGAGACCAGTGAAGCTGATTTCCCCTGGAGTCACACAATTTTTTTTGCACTGTGACCACAGATGCTGACTCTACCCAGCTGGGTTGGCCCTGGGGTCCTGCAGTGCCTGGTCCAGAGGCAAAAATCAAAGTGTCCCTTCTGGAAATGATCCTTCCTAAGGCATTTCCTATCACAGAAGCATTTAGGAATGTCACGGGGCCATCCTGCTGGTCCCTGGCACAGGGCAGTGGTGTCAATGGGACCCATCTATGCAAACAGCAGACAGAGGACACTGCTTTGCCCAGCCAGTAAATCCACACTGGATCTTTTCGTCTTGGAGACTTTCCAACCTCATTGTGTGAGAACTGCCCCACTGGAAACATCAGGCAATGCCCTCCCAGAGAAAAACTCCAATTTCCAAACCATTGGTGTTTTTCCAAGCCAGGCTGGGTCATTCTGCTGGCGCTGCCGCAGCCTGGGCGGGGTGGGTGTAACAAAACCCCACACCCTCCCATCACCCAAATCAAATAAATAAATAAATAAATAAATAAA